ACTGGCCAAATTGCACCTGTTCAGTACGTGACTGGCTTTAGACACCAGCACAGAGGATCAGCAGCGTCTTTCAGACTGAGAGGGCTTTGTAGAGGGAGGATACTCACAAGGGTCCTTGGCGGCGAAAAGTCAGGGAGACGGATTGATTTTAATAACCGCATATAATCGAACAGGAAACCAAGGCCTGTATATTACCCGGCACGAACACAAGTCCATCAGAAGAGAACCCTGTCTTCACAGCAGTGAGAGATGTGCTGGACAGGGATCTTGGGGGACAGCCTCAGTACAGGGCCTGGGGGTGCTCCTTGCTGAGGGAGTGGGGGTGCAAGTGCTAAGCTATGAGAGGCACGGGAGATGCCAAATGCAAACTCCCCAACTTCACCTCTGATGTGCGCTCACAAGCCTGGCCTCTTGTCCTGTTCTTTTCCCCCAGAGTGTGAAAAGATCAACAGACATGAATTCAGAGCTGGTCTGGGCCAGGGCTGGGAGGTGGGGAGCAGACAGGACGTGGTCCCTCAGCTGGTCTCCTAAGGAGCACTAGCCTACGGGTCTCAGCTCCTGGCCCTCTGGCTTACAGTCTCCTTTTCCTGAAGGCCCTGGGCTTGGTCATCTCTACCATCCTGTTCAGCTCAGAGGGCCTTGTCTCCCTGAGCGGATGCCCTGGAGGCCAACAGATTAATTTTCCAGCTGGGCTTCTCAGCCTCAGCCTGGCCGGGCAGGGTTTGGGCAGGGAGGGGCAGGATCTGGCCTGGCTTTCCCTTTTCACAAGAGCCCCCAGAGAGGCCCAGAGTCAATGCCCTGTGTGTGATGGGAGCCACGGAACCTGGGCCCACGAGGGCCCCTCAGCCATCTGCACAACACTACGGAATACCTGTACTCTATGCCTAGATAGATGGACACATCTGGATGCAGGCAGGAGTGTGCCTGTGTGGACGCTGCCTGGGAGCTGACCCGGGGCGGAGAGTCTCAGCATGCTGGGAGCCCCCGGAGTCCACCACCAGGGTTGGCTCCAAGTTGGCCCCATGCAGCGAACATTCGCCGAATTGCCTGGCAGGAGAGAGAAAGCACATGGAAAGTGCCCGGTCCTTCTGGTTGTCCACAGGAGAAGCCAGCATGTACACACAAACATTGCATTTCGGTTCAACAACATTTATTGAGGGCCCATTATGAACCAACAGGGTCTCAAGCCCTGAGAATCTAGACATGAATAAAACCAGATCCCTGTCTCCCTGAGCCCCCCAGCCTAGGGCAGAGGCAGGCACATGAGCCAACCAGATGGTTGGTGGCTGTGTATGCACCCATTCCCACGAGGGCAGGACTGGGGAGGGAACACGGCAAGGGGCGGGGGGCAGGAGATGAGGAAGGGGTCACAAATTCCTACCCAAATCCACCCAGGCAGGTAAACAGATAACCCCAGGCACACACATAAGCACACACGCATGCACGCACATGCACACACACACACACTCTTAGGTGTATACACTGACTACCTAAGCATATGTAGACACAAATACTGACCCTGTAGACTCAAGCGCCTCACAGGCCATCGTGATTAAAGCCTGTTAGTGGTCCCCCAATCTGGGGCGGTGTGCACGAGAGGATGGCCTGTGTGTCGGGAGCAGGTACCTGGGGCAGCATGGGAATCACTCCACCTTGGCCAGGGGATGGCTGGAGGTGGGCAGAGCTGTTAGTCTAAATCGGAGAGGTTAGGCTGATTATTGGCTTGCTGTGAATGTCAATCATCAGAGACAGCCAATCAGCTATAGACCAGGCCTGACACTCAGCTCAGTGGCCAGAAGTAGGGAATCGGACAAAGAGTTCACCTGTTAGTACTTGTGCTCCTTGAGGAGTGTGAACCAGGTAGGAGTCAGGACAGCAGGGTGGAAGAAGGGGAGTGCTGGGAGTTAGCTGTAGCACGCTCGCATCCCTTCACTTTAGAAACGGCTCAATTCCCTATTTGGATTTTTTGGTGTTGGGAGCTAACAAATGGAAAGTGTTTGGAGGAGCTCCTGGCACATAGTAGCCCCTCAGCGGGCAGTCATTCTGTTCCCCGCAAGACCATGCCCCTGGTGTGTGCCTGTTTCAGCCCTGAGGAGGGGCGCCAGGGCTCCAGCCTGTAGGGGGTAGCAGAAGGTGAACCTGGGGACACGAAGCTAGGATTCCTGCCCCCCTGTGAGCACCAGCCCTCCTCCACCGCACAGGGTGCAGCATGATTCATTGAGTGAGAGATGGATCCCTCCTCCAGAGCTGCCTTCTGCCAAAACCTTGCAGAGCTTTGTGTATTCCTTCCATAAGCGATATTTCTTTGCAGTAATAACAGCTTTTGCAGCGCTTTCTACCTGCCAGGCACGGTTCTCTCTACTTGAGATATAACTTAACAATCATATGAGGTAGGGACATTATTTTTCACATTTTACAGATGCAGGAACTGAGTCCCAGAGTGGTTAAGTGTGCAAGGTCGTGCAGTGAGTAAGTGGCGGAAGCAGGATGGCACCAGAGTCCATTCTCTAACCACAGGGCTCTGCCACCTCTCCGGAAGGAAGATCTGATACTTTCTCCTCCTTCCCTGCCTTCTCCTTTCTCCTCACGAATACCCCACGGGGCCCTGGATAAGTCACTGAGTCTCTATTGCCTTCTCTGGGAAGGAGAAATTCCTCTCAGCCTGGCGACCTCAAGCTGTCGATACCCCTGCATGGCTTTCGCTGGGAGGAAATGGTGCCCTGGTGTAGTATTCTAGGGGGCAGATATTCCAAGCTGGGCACTCTGCATCTTGCCCCCTGGAGTAGGGCCAGGGTGGAGAGTCCTCTCTGAGCCCCATCAGCAGACTCGCAGCTGGGCTCAGAGGCCCCTGGAGGCCCCCTGGGAGGACTGGGGCTGGAGACACTAATGAGGAGACCAGGAGAAAAAACCCTCTCCCTGGAAGTAAATTCATGCAGAGAAACTTATAAGCTGTGCATGCAATTTGCAAGTGGGCCAAGGCCCTCAGAGCTTAAATATATTCCCAGGGGCTATTTATAGTCTTGGAAAAATTAGAGTTTTCTGGGTAATGGGAGTGCTGCAGACTCCAGCTTGTCAGGGCCTGCCAGGGACTGGCAGAGAATAGAGTGGGAACCATGGAGCCTTCTGGTGAAGGGCTCCAACTTCTAGTGACCACATGCCCAGAGCAGACAGCCCCAAAGTGGGCTCCTGAGGTGGGGAAGGCATATCCTGGGGGGGCTCATGGAAGAAAGCCCAAACCCCCTTATCTGGCATTTAAGGCTCCCAACTCCCCTTTAAATATCCCCCCCACACCTCTCCCTACACAAACCCCTCCCCCAGCCACCCTTAGAACATTCTCAGCTCTCACATTCCTCTGCACTCTTGTCACACTCTTCCCACCTGGACTGCCGTTACCTCACTCTTCTCTGGTGAGTTGAATGCTCCCACCCCTCAAGGCCCCTGACGTCCCCATTCCTGGTCCCCGCTGCCCTGTCCCTTGCCCCCACTCTGAAGCCTTCACTGGAACGAATCGCCTACCCGTGGAGACCTGCTGTGGTGGACGCCGTAGTGTGCCCCTCAGCTTCACCCTTTGGGCCTGAGGCACCCCTCCTTCCCTGGCTTCAGGAAACAGGGCCTCCTGGCTGCATCCCTCTCAGTCAGAGGGGGCCAATTCATCCGAAACCATGCCTCCTTCCCCGGCGCAGTAGATAGCCAGTGCTTGGGGGGGGGGGGGGGGGCGGGGTGTGTGGGGTAGAAAGGTCCTCCCTCCCTTTCTGCTGGCTGGACGATTCCAAGGGCCACTGCAGCTTCAGAGCTTCCTGGTAGATCAGCAGAAGCCACCTCAGTGCAGGTTCCCCCCTCTGTCCCGTCCTGCCTCCCTTGCCCCCACGGGGGCCATTCTCAAGAGCTCGCTAATCTCCATCTTGAAGAATGCTTTCTGGGCAAGCCAGTTTATAACAGCTGGTGACAGAATGGCTAAGCAACCAGCCTGGGTGCCAGTAGAGATCAACCGTTCTTAGCACCCTGACCTGGGACGAGTTACCTAAGTTCTCCATACGATTGCTTTATCCATAAAATGGGAATAATGCTGAGGCAACAGTCTCTGGCCGGTCTTGTGAGGATTAAACGTGATGATGTACGAATGCGCCTGATATTGAGAAAGCGCTCAGTAGACATTAACTATGACTGTCTACATTTAACTTCTCTGAGGTTCAGGTACATTATTATCTGTGTCATGGGGTTGTTGGTGAGAGTCAAATAATATTGAGAGGCAAAGGGTTGCATTCTGTGCTGCCGGGACCTAATACAGACTCAGGGGTCCAGTTCCCGCGGGGCTTTGCCCACCTGGAGCTGTAGTCGGGAAGCCTGACCCTTCCCCCGACTGGTAACAATCACTGTATTAGTTTCTTATCACCGCTGTGACAAACTACCACACATTTAGTAGCTTAAGGCAACATAGATTTATTATCTTACAGTTCTGTAGGTCAGGTTTGGGTCTCATCAGACTAAAGTCAAGGTCTGCAGGCTGTGGTCCTTTCTGGGGGTTCCAGGGGAGAATGCACTTCCTGCTCACTCCAGAAATTGGCAGAATTCAGTTCCCAGGGTTGTAGGACCGAAGTCCCCATGTTCTTGCTGGCTCTAAAATGAGGGTTGATCCTATCTTTCACAGGCCACTACCTTCCTTGGCTGTGTTCCCCCTTCCGCCATCTTCAAGGTCAACACAGGCTGGTGGAGGACTTCCGACGGCATCTCTCTCCAACCGGCTTAGTCATCTTCCACTTTTAAGGACTCATGTGATTAAATGGGGTCCAACTGCATTATCTAGAATACTCTCCCCATCTCAAGGTCCTTAATCACATCTGCAGAGTCCCCTTTGCCATGTAAGGTGTCATATTCGCAGGTTCCAGGGATTAGAACATGGATATCTTTGGTGGGGGCTGGAGGGGAGGGCATTATTCTGCCTCCCCTAACCCCCCAGCGTGGGACAACGTCGATCCAAAATTCACCTCCTCCTCTTCCAGGGAGAGGTCTGTGCGGTTCCATGTGCCGCAGGAACCTATGGCCCCAACTGCTCGTCTGTCTGTAGCTGTACCAACCGTGGCATCTGTTCCCCCGTGGATGGCTCCTGCACCTGCAAGGAAGGTGATGTGCCTCCTCGCCCGCTCCCATCCCCCTCAGATGTACACACCGCCCAGGTGGGCTGCCGGCTAGGGAGTCTGGGCTGTCCCTGCCTCATCCACCCACACGCAGGGTCAGGGAGCTTAGAGATCAGGTCCCAGCCAAGGACACCCAGGCCAGGGACTTCAGTAGGAGGAGTGTAATAGAGGGATTAGTTACAATGGTATTAGAATTGCTGGGGGAGCATACGAGGGGAAGTGCACAAACCAGAGATCAGAAGTGGGGAGGGAGAAGCTGCCACCACTCCTAGGGTGGGAGGGACAGATGGAGGAAGCGGCATTCCAGAGCTTGGGAGTGAGGGCCACCTGGTGGGAGCTGGGGTGTGGATAGAGGGGCTGCGTGGCAGCAGTGGAACATGGGGAGGCCCAGCCCGCACCACCATCAGAGGCCCTGCCAAGGCCAACAAAGGCGTCTCTTCTGCTCCCCACCTCCAGTCTGTGGGCCAGGTCTCCCGTAGTGAAGCCCACCTGGGAGCCAGCTGAGGGGGAAGCCGGGGATATGCAGCTGCAGGGACCAGCCTCCTGTGACGCAGATCAGAGCCGGGGAAGGGGAGAAATGGACCTGAGAGCAAACAGGCCGATGACCAGCCTCAGAACAGGGAAACCAGCCTGTCCCAAGAACAAAGGGCCCTAAAATAAGCCTCCTGATCCCACCCCGGGCAGAGATAGACCTCCCCGTCTCAGCTGGTGCCCTGTCCCAGGTGGGATCATGCACCTGCAGCAAGAGCAGTGAGAGCCAGGAGGCAGGAGCCCCGCGGGCTGGCCCTAGGTCTCCTAACAGCCCTGCTGTGTTTCGGAGCCGACTCCATGTGGAATGTGTGTTTTACCCCGGTGATCAGAGAAACGGTGGTTTAGGGGGGCAGGTACAGAGCTGGGGGAGTAGGCAGAAAGCCAGCCGTGCCGGGCCCCGACAAAGAGGTGACAGACCCTTTCCCCGCTCTCAGGGTGGCAAGGCCTGGACTGCACCCTGCCGTGTCCCAGCGGGACGTGGGGCCTGAACTGTAATGAGAGCTGCACCTGCGCCAACGGGGCAGCCTGCAGCCCCGCAGATGGCTCCTGCTCGTGCACCGCTGGCTGGCTCGGAGACACCTGCGAACTGCCCTGCCCAGTGAGTGCCCAGCAGCCCTCTCCCCCTCTCCCGCAGAGGTGTGCAGAGAAGAGCACTGGCCTCGGTGGTGGGACCCCCGGATTCCGGTCTTGCATCTATAAAATGGCAAATATCTGGCAGGCGTAGCACCCTGGCCTCACTCCCCCCTTGCTGTGCTTGGTCAACGTTATTAATCGACCCTGGCACACTGACCTGAGCCCAGAGGCAGCCTCAGAATCATTCCCAACACAGTGCTACAGGACAGCCCTTACCAATCCCTCAGAGTGGCTGTTCCTCGATAATTTTATGATCAGGGTATGAGAGGGCAAAACCAAGCACTATTCAGTGATAGCCACCCAGACTGAATCACCGGATCTTAGTCTAAGAGACAAACACGTTAAACCAACCAATATATGATATTGTTGAACGAGGCCTGCAGTCCTGGGTTCAAATGCTGACTTTGCCACATCCTAACTATGTGACCTTGAACGTGTTACTTCACCTTTCTGACCCTATTTCTCATCGTTAAATGGTGAATATAATGGAAACATCCCATAGATCTGCTGTGAGGATTAAGAGAAATGAGTGATAAAAGGCTCTTGATACCTAATGAGCACGCAAGCAGATGTCAGTTGCCACCATCCGTCTTCCCTAGAAACAAAGAATAAATTGGTCATTCTTCACATGTGATCAATGCATTATGATTTGCAGAGTGCATTCTCATTTACAATTTTAGTTAACAATCACTAACCACACCCCTTTGAGCTTAACCATCAAGAAGTAGGGCAAGACCGGGGTGCCTGGGTGGCTCAGTCAGTTAAGCGGCTGCCTTGGGCTCAGGTCATGATCTCAAGGTCCTGGGATCGAGCCCCACATTGGGCTCCTTGCTCAGCGGGGAGCCTGCTTCTCCCTCTCCTTCTGCCTGCCACTCCCCCTGCTTGTGCTTGTGCTTGTGTATTCTCTCTCTGTCAAATAAATAAATAAAATCTTAAAAAAAAAAAAAAAAGTAGGGCAAGACCATCACCCTCTCCTTCCAAACCCCATACTTCTGTTAATGTAGTCAAAGAATTATTTGGCATGGCCTCATGGCTATGTGGCTCACCAGTGATAAAAAGTGCTCCCACTCCACTCCAGCCACAGTCTCTCTGCATCCCCGTGGGGCAGAGGCTCACTTTTGTTATCAAAACCCAACAGGGGCACCTGGGTGGCTCAGTCGTTAAGCGTCTGCCTTCGGCTCAGGTCATGGTCCCAGGGTCCTGGGATCGAGTCCCGCATCGGGCTCCCTGCTCCACGGGGAAGCCTGCTTCTCCCTCTCCCACTCCCCCTGCTTGTGTTCCCTCTCTCGCTGTGTCTCTCTCTGTCAAATGACTAAATAAAAAATCTTTAAAAAAAAAAAAACCCAACAGAAGTGTGTGACGCTCTGGGAGTCTAGGTCTGATCGTTTCTCTGTCCCCTTCCCTCCACAGGATGGCACATTTGGGCTGAACTGCAGTGAGCGCTGTGACTGCAGCCACGCAGATGGCTGCGATCCTGTCACGGGCCACTGCTGCTGTCTCGCCGGATGGACAGGTACCCGCTGCCCCGCCCCCCCGCCCCCCCGCCCCCAGGGCCTGGGAAACCAGGTTCTTGGTGTTCTACTTCTCTTGACTGTTCTTTCTCTTTCACTTCTTCTTGCTCCTTATGCATGCACGTTTATTTCCCTTCTCTCCTCTGGGCCTCAGTTCTCTGTTCCCTACAGTTCAAGCAAACCAATTATTGAACACCTAGTATGTGCAGGCTTCGTTCTAAAGGCTAGGGACATACCAGTAAGAAATCAGACAGAGGCTAATACATCGTGAGCATAGGTGCTTAATCTGCATTCTCAGAGGATATGGTAGAGAGGGGGACGGGGACCTTCTGCTTAGCCCAGCCTCACACTCCTGGTCCCTTATATGTGTCTGTCAGCCTATCTCCTAAACACATGGTGAATCCATCCCACTGCCGCCATCCTGGTCCTCCAAGCACCGTCTCTCAGCTGGCTCTGCCCTGGCCTCCTCCTTGGTCTCTGGGCCTCCCCTGTTGCCCAGCTGCATCCATTCTGCATATGGTGGCCAGAGTGAACTTCTCAAACCCCAGCTCCATTCACATCAGTTCCTGCTCAGAGTGCCTCAGTGGCTTCCCATGGCACTTATAGAAAATCCAAAATCCTTACAGTGGCCCAGGGTCCCTATGACCTGGCCGCCGCCCAACTCTGCCACCTCCCTTTCGCCCCCTCCCATCATTCACTACACTGCAGCCACCTGGGCCGACCACCTTCCTGACCCCAGGCTTTTGTGTGTGCCTTCTCTCCACATGCATTGCTCTTTCCTTTTCTCTGCACCTGATGATGCCCTTCCCCATTACCACCCAGCCAAGACTATGTAAGAGTCCCTCTTATGAATTCTCATAATATCCTACACTCTTCTTTTTGCCATACTTACCTCCATTGTCACTGAACAGTCATTCGAGTATTTTTTTATTATCTGCCTCCTCAACTAGACCATCAGCTCTCTGGAGGCAGGGCCTTGCTCACCCCTGTGTCCACTGCCTGCCACCCACTGAGAGATGACATGGTGGTTAAGAACACAGAGCTGGAGCCAGACTGCCTGGGTTTGTGATCTTGGGCGAGTCCTTTAACCTCTCAGGGCCCGAATTCTCCATCCATAAAATGCAGATAATTATAATCCTCGCAATTACAGGGTCATTTTGAAGTTTAAATGAGTTAATACTTGCAAGTGCTAACAGGGCATGGCGCTGTGCTCAATAAATGTAGCCCATGAATACAGAAAGTGCTTAATAATGCTGTGCTGGGTGAATGCATGCAGTCCCAAGGTGGTGGGCAGAGCGAGAGATACAGGTGTTCCTGGCAGTGTGGGTTTTCAGATAATCGTTCACACCGGGTTGCTGAGCAGCCTCTGTTTTCCACAACCAGAAAGTGTCTGAGCAACAGAAAGCCCAGGCATATTGCTTCCTCGGTAGCATCTCTGACCTGGCTCCCCTGCCCAGCCTCATGGTACAGAGTAAGGCTCATGCCCTAGTCACTGGCCCCCCAGATTCCTAGCTAGAGCCAAGTGGAAATCCGCTTTAATTTTTCATGGCCTTAATTTCAAGTGAGCCGATGATAAGATTTTAATGCTAGCTGGTGCTTAAAAATTCTGTCTTTGATGGACAACTTTTCAGCAAGGCCTCTGCTGTTCTCATATAAAGCTAATTTTCCCAAATATGGTCCTGAAGTCATTTCAAAGGAGTGATTGATGTCCTGAGGTTTGTAATGGAAAAGGGGACCAAGGAGGGGAAAGGAGGGGATGCAGGCATAGGACCCGGACTCCCACTTGGTGAACCCTCCCCACCCACCCCTGCCCCAAGAAGTCTGTCCCTGACTTCCCAGCTCCTGGCGTATTGCTCATGCCTTGGCTCAACAGTGGCTTTGCTCTGCCCTAAATATGTGCAGGTCTTCTCCCCTTGCCCACACAAACCACAGATTTTGACAGGTGCCATCATGTTTCATTCACTTTGCCCTGCGCATAGCAGGTGTTTAGTAAATGTCTATTGAAGTAAATTGAAAGAAGCTGGGCTATAACCATATATGAGTTTTTCCCCTTGAAGCGAAGGAACCTCCAAGGTGATCTACTCTAACCTCCTCAGACTACAGATGAGGAAAGGAGATGTCCAAGGTCTCGGGGCATTCGTGCCAATAGGATGGGGACATGGAATTGCATCGTAAAAAGGAGCCATCTATTCGTTCAATTAGCATTTATTGACTCAAGCAATCACCAAGTCCTTAGTTGGCAACTACCACGTATATCCAGCACTGTGTCAGGCCCAGCATTAAATAGCAAAATTCAGTAACAGCAATGGTCCCTGGACACCCATTATGTGCCAGACACCATGCTGAGCACCAGAGAAGCAAAGATAACCAAGATGGCATCCTGTCCACTAGGAGCACCAAATAAGGAGGGTCAGAAGTGTCAATAAGCCATGTTCCCTGCCTTCAGATTGCTGGCAGGGGACACAAGACTTATGTATGAAACATTCAAATAATAGGCAGGGACAAAGCTGTATGCCACTGACTACCCAATAGATGCTTGAATCCCTGGGCAGACATCTGGGAAGGCTTCCTGGAGAAGGAGGACCCTAAGCAGACCCTGAAGGATGTAGGCTGCTGAGTTGCTGGCCTCGTGGCATGGACTTGAGGTCATGATACATGGATTCTTAGCCTAGCTTTACCCATCAACATGGATGTGTAGGGAGTCCTGAAAAATAAAGCAGGGAGATTCCCTAGGGATAAGACAGGGAAGGCCCTCTGAGGGGGATTATTATCCCTATTTAACTAGGGAAAACAGGGCCTAGATAAGATAACTGGTGAAGCTATGTCTCTTCAGAAGCTGTGCTTGGAAGACCCTCCCACAGGCCAAGGGGCAGCCCCTTTGACCGCTCCAGTAGAACCGGGGCTCTCCATGCAGGGGGAAACCCTGGACCCTTCTCCCCACTCAGGGAGTGTCTTAAGTTCCAGGGAGTTCTTAGGACATATGAAAACCTCCAACAGGGGCCCCACTCCCACAGAACCAGGCCTAGAATATAATAATTGCCAGATCTTAAAAACAGTGAGCCCTTGCCACCACCTGCCATCTACATGATCACCTCGCAGCCATGGTTCTCAATCCCCAAGAAAGAGAACCCTTTTGGGACATGAAAACATTTTGAGGGTCCCACACGAGAGTAGCTGTAGTTTTAAATATCTGTTGATTGGGAGAACACTCGATAGCAAAGAGCTGCCATGAATTCAAGGGGGCTTTTTTTTTTTTAAAGATTTATTTGAGAGAGAGAGAATGAGAGAGAGTACATGAGAGGGGGGAGGGTCAGAGGGAGAAGCAGGCTCCTCGCTGAGCAGGGAGCCTGATGCGGGACTCGATCCCGGGACTCCGGGATCATGACCTGAGCTGAAGGCAGTTGCTTAACCAACTGAGCCACCCAGGCGCCCCAAGGGGGCTTTTGCATGCATTGGGTTTCATTAATCACAGCAGGGTCTGCAGCAGGTTTAGGAAAGAGCAGTGTGACCTGTGTGCCTTGGTCAGACTATGTGAGCATGTGGGGCACAGATGGGATCAGAGGTCCCTGTCAGGTGGCAGGGTGCCTCCCGGGAACAGCAGAGTCCCTCGGCCCGCAGTCTGATCCTGGCTTTCTCACAGAAGAATTCCTTGGTCACAGCTCCTATGTTCCCAGAGAAGGGGAGACTTGAAGCTGTATCCAAAGCTTTGAGCAGCCTCGTGGTGCTAGCTTCCCCAGGCTCCCGTTGGGTCCGTGCACGGGGTTTGTCCAGGTGTTAGCCCCTTGAGCACCCGAAACTGCATCGGGCGAGACCTCCATCAAGGGGTGAAGCGTGCCGGCCAGATTCCCTCCCTCCACAAAGAGGCCTCATTTCTCAGAGAGTGGCATCGAAAGCCCTCGCCCTGCTGCCAAATTGAGATGTCACAGGGAGGGAGGCCAGGGAGGGGATGTGGGCACTAGACTAGACGGGAGCTGGAGGGTGAGCAAAGCCCTGTTGCGGCCCCTCGCTCCCTGCTCTCTCTGGCTGCTCAGCCCTCTCCTCCCTCTCCCACCGGCTCAGGTGGGCTGTACAATTCCAGCCTGCCTCCAGATCGGTCCCACTATTCTCCTGCTACTGCTCTGGCTGGCTCTCTCCGCCGGGCCTGAGAGTCTTCCTCCCTCTTTCTGTCTCTTTCCCATAATCCCTGTCCCTGTAACAAGGCAGACATGATTTTTAAACTAATTCTGCTCTTCTCTGAGCCTCTGATGTTCGCCTTCCAAAGCCAAGCCAGTTTCCTGGGCCCACGCCTTCCGTTCGCCTAATGCCTGTCAGACTGGAAGCATTTCTGCCCCAGAGCTGGGGCCTCCAGCCTCAGGCCTTTCGAAATTCCTTCTTAGCCTTCGGGCTGTAATCACCTCAGTACATATTCGCTCTATCTCATCTCAAAAAGACTATGTAGGCCTTCTTCCTCTTTCTTAATAGAGTACAAAGCAGTGCAGAGAAGACATCAGAGTGCATCCCCTCCAGTGACAGTAAAATGTCATTTTGCAAAGTGTTGGTTTCTGTCATACATGTATGTGCACTTAAGATCTAAAATCCACGTTGCAGGGGCACCTGGGTGGCTCAGTCGTTAAGCGTCTGCCTTCGGCTCAGGTCATGATCCCGGGGTCCTGGGATTGAGCCCCGCGTCGGGCTCCCTGCTCAGCGGGAAGCCTGCTTCTCCCTCTCCCACTCCCCCGGCTTGTGTTCCCTCTCTCACTGTGTCTCTCTGTCAAATAAATAAATAAAATCTTTAAAAAATAAAATAAAATCCACGTTGTGCTGAGGGCCGTGGTCAAAAGAATCTGAAGAGACCCCACCCACCGTCTGGACCTGCACCCTAGGTTGGCTGGGACCCAAAGGACCAGTGGCTACTGGGCTAACATGGGTGGGCATGTAGCTCACTCCCAGCTGCTGCAGCCGACCCCATTACAGCATTCCCTTGCCCCACAGTTGGTTTCTGTCAAGCCTAACATTGGATACCAACGAAGATGTCAAAAAGGAAGGTGGCCCTTCATGACCTGGTTCCTTCTTGGTCCCACAATCTCATCTCTTGCCATACCTCATTTTGTCCTTGTGGCTCAGCCACACTCTGCTGTTTTCTTTTAAGGCGTGATTCTCTCTCCTGCCTCCTAATTTTTGCACAGAGAGTTTCCTTTACCTGGTAAATTCCTCCGTGTCCCTTAGGACTGACTCACTTTGGGCATCACCTCTTCCTGGAATCCCTCCCTGACCAGCCAAGCCTGGACTGGAGTTTTCATCTACATTCCCAGATGCACTGTGCTCACCTCCACCCCTTCATTCTGCAGAGGGCCCCTTCCCATCATCCTTCCCTCTGACTTCAGTCCTCTTACCTCTGACCCAAATTTACCTCTGGCCCACAGGCATCCGCTGTGACAGCATGTGTCCGCCTGGTCGCTGGGGTCCCAACTGCTCCGTCTCCTGCAGCTGCGAGAACGGCGGGTCCTGCTCCCCAGAGGATGGGAGCTGCGAGTGTGCCCCTGGCTTCCGAGGAACCTTATGCCAGAGAAGTAAGGCTGAGCCCCCCACCCCACAGATGGCTCACCTTCCCCACCCCTTCCCTGTTGGAATAAGTCAGGACCGGAACAAGTCAGTGTCAGCCCCCATCAAACCCCTCCCTTCTAGTCCCCTCTCTCCCTGCGCTGGCTTTTCCGTCCCTAAGTTCAGGGCCCAGCCTGGATCCTCAGTGGAAACCGGACCAGACCACAGCTTCTCTCTGCAGGAAGGGATGGGCCCTCAAAGGTGCAGTGTGGGGACAGCTCTCCCCATACTCTTGAGAAGCCTCCCTTCATCCCCATGTGCAGCAGGACAGGTAGCCAAGCTGACTGGGGCCCCTGAGGCTGCTGACCACCATCTCCACTTCATCCCCAGTCTGCCCCCCCGGGTTCTATGGCCACGGCTGCGCCCAGCCGTGTCCCCTCTGCGTGCACAGCGGTGGGCCGTGCCACCACATCAGCGGCATCTGTGAGTGCCTCCCAGGATTCTCCGGAGCCCTCTGCAACCAAGGTAGTGTCTCCAGGGCAAGTGGGGGCCAGGGAGGTGAGGCATCCTGGGAAGGAAGTGGCTGGAAGGAGGGGCTGGGGGATTCTCATCATACTCCGTGGAGGCAGCTCCCTGCCTCATCAGGGCTCGGGCCTACCCTTCTGAGAATTGGTCACCACCAGGCGTGAGACGAAGCTATTATGTAGTTAAAGGAACAGGCTCAGAGAGGTTAAATGGCTTCTCCTTGGTCTCACAGCTAGGAAGTGGCAGAGCCGAGAAATTCCAACTCCAAAGCTGATGAAAAATGAAATTAGCGTAGGTGAGTTCTGCATAAGAAGTGTCCCCAAATGGCTTATGCCAAGTGCCAAGTGGTAAAGGCAGAGGATGACGTGGGAACTCAGAGGGGACAGTTCTGGCAGGAGCTGGAGATGGCAGCTTCCCAGGCCTTCTCCCCCCCACACTCAGGCCAACATCGCTGATCCCTCATGGCACTTCCCTGTCTCGGCGGCTGAATCCTTCGCAAGGCCAACTCCAGCCAACCTCCACCACTCAGCAGGACTCGGAAAGGGAGACAAAGCTCATTTGCATTGGTGTGCTGCTAAACTGACTCTCTGGGGGGGAAAAGCCTTGCTTTGTAACATTTGCAAGCAAGTTCCATGATCTGAATGTCTCCACCATGGCTGATTCCGTGGTACCAGGGGCTTGACACGGGTCACAAAATTCCTGAATATTTAACAACCAGTGTGAAGGCAGAAGCTGGCTCCAGCAAATACTGCTGCTTATTGCCATCACTGGCTCAGTTAGGCCAAGGCGGTGTAGATTTGGGGGGGGGGGGGGGGCGGCTCCGTGCTGTTGCAGGCCTTCAGTGAGGCCTCAGCCTAAGAGGCAGAGAAGGCAGAAAGGCATTGTGGGTAGAGCAGACAGCTTGGGTGTGGACACCTGACTGTCCAGCAGTAGAGCGGCTGAAGGATGCGGGGGGCTGGGTGGGGATGGCAGAGGGAACTGGGAAGGGAGTCTGGGGCCCTCAGGACAGCTTAGAACACAGGGTTACAGAATTTGCACTCTCTCCTGTAAGGAGCAAAGAGATCTTAGACTAAGGTAAACTTAGAGCTAAAAGCAAATTCAAGGTCATCTGTGCAAGAATCTCATCTGGCCTGTGTTTAAATGCTTCCACTGAGAGCTCACTACCTCCCAGGGGAACAGAATCTTTTGATGAATAATCACCACTGAGCTGGGCTGGCTTTGTAAGTGTATGGGCCGTTAATATGTATGAATGGAAAGTTCACTCCCTGATGCTTTGAGGTCATGAGAAGTTTGGGCCCCAGGGAAGCATATGTGACAGTTTCATTTGCTTGCAGCCCTCCCAGGACAGTTTAATCATAACCTGACACGTCGAGGTTTACTTATTAAACATTGGAGCCCAGCCGTCAATACAGATAAGCTGGGTCTAAATTAGGATCTAAGCAGCCCGAGGAGTAAGTCTCGGATCCTGCGATGTCTGATTTATCGCCCGCTGGCCTAATGAGTATTTTCCACATATAGATCTAATAGAGTTTGCTATTAATGGCAACTGCCCTGGTTAAGTCTCAAACCTTGTAAAAAATTGAACTGACACTTTCTAATGACCGGCTTTCCAGCGAGTTACAAATTACAGACACTGCTTATGCAGAATCATTAAACATAGATTAAATATAACCAGATGTTTTCTTTTCACCAGCCCCCTTCTCCACCGCCCCTCTTTTTGCCTCACTCTTGATTCAGCTAAGAAGTCGACCAATTAATGTATTAGACTGATCACATTAGCAGCTCTGTAGGTGAATTTGTCAGCCTTGTGTGGGTGAGAAAGACTTCAAAGATAAGACTGTCTTGTTAGAGAAGCTCAGAGCTGGTTTGGGGAGTATGGGTAGGTGGAGCAGCTCACCCTACTCCCCATACGGGGCCAGGACTGGAGAATGGGCTCCCCAAATCAAGCACCTCGCAGAGGTGGGGAAGAGGAGGCTGGGCAACCTGCTGTTCTGGAAGCTGAAGCTGGGACCTGAGCTGCAGGTGGCTAGGTGTGTGTAAGCCACCCTGGTAGGAGCTAAGGTTTTTGCCAGGGGAAGTACAGGGCCCCACTATCAGCCATCTCCCACCCCACAGCTGTCAACCACGGCCTGAGGCCATTTCAAAGATGAGGAAACAGGACGCAGAGGGGTCATGCAGTCTGCTCAAAGGTGCTTAGCCAGTAAGTGGCAGACCTTCCGAACTGTGTGACCTTGGGCAAATTACTTAACCTCTCGGTCCCTCAGTTTCCTTAAGTTAATAATAGGGAGTAATAATGAAAATATCTAACATTGACAGTATTACGAGGTTGACTGAACTACTATTTGTGAAGCACCTGGAATAGTGTCCAGTGCATATAAGTGCCATAGAAGTTTTTGTGGAATACATAAATAAAATTAAGACCCAAACCCAAGGCTTTAGACTAGAGACCCTGGTGTGCCATGCTGCCTTCATGATCTGTCCCAACCACTGATCATGCCCAGGAAAGGCATAGGGTGGACACAGATCCTAGGCTCCAACTGCCCACAATCTGACCATCTTGTTGGGGAAGGGCTGGCAAGGGGAGGCAGTGTGGCATGAAGGAGAGGGTGCGAGCCCAAGGTTTAAGAGAACTGGGTCCTGGGTACGTTGCTTTGCTTCAAGAATCAATACCTTCCCATGATCCTCCATGTGGCTCACCCAACTGAGGGCCTCGGGGGGTTCAAGGAATTCCTCCCCCATAACAGGAATGCAATGAAGCCTTCTCTGAGGATGGAGGGCTGGCTACAACTGGGCTTTGAAGGGAGAAGGTTGAACTGAGAAGAGCTGAAAGGGACAGGAGTCAGTGATCCCAGCAGAACCCACTGGAAGGTCACTGCTCCTGGGGCCTATTTTGGTATTCCATTTTGGAATACTTTCTGAGTGTTTGGTGTGTGTCAGGCACTGTGCTGGGCATTTGGACACAACAGGGAACAAGAGAGCCACGTGCCCTGCCCTCACACAGCCTGCAGTCTAGAGGGGGACATTCAGAGCTCATCCTTCCCCAGCAGAACTTGAGAGTTGAAGGGGAGCCAGTTTACTCCCACACATTCAGCCATCATGCCTGCTTTTTCCAGGCATCGTGGAGAACAAAGACATGGGCAGAACTCAGGCCTGGCCTGAAATCAGCTCACAAGTCACAGTAACAGAAGACCAGGGAAGAAACTAACAGAGAGTCTGGAAGTTCAAACAGGGAAATAGCTGCCCAGAACAGAGATGATGGGCGAGTCAGGATTAAGTTGTTTTAAGTGACATAAAAACCCCGAATAACTGGCTTGAAACTGACAAACGTTATTTCCCTTAAACAGAAAGCAAGAAACGATCCAGAAGTAGACCACTGGAGAATGGCAAGGTAGCTTACAAAGAGGTCAGGAGCCAGCCTCCTTCTGTCCTGTTGTTCAGCCATCCTCGGCACATGGCCTCCACCTCTGATGGAAGGTAGCTGCTTAAACTCCAGCCACCTTATCCACAGTTCTTATCCATAATCCACATTATCCTTCAACAAGGACGAGGAATGGACAAAGACATGCATTTCCACTTACCAGAGTGTAGTCACATGGCCATACCCAGCTGAGCAGGAGCCTCAGAAATCAAGTCTTTATTGCAGGTGGCCATAAGCCCAGCTAAAACTCCAGATTCTACTTCTAAGGAAGAAAAGACTGGATGATTGAAGGACTAGCAGCCTACTACAGGGGGATCACGGGGAAGGTAGCATTTAAAATGAGTCTTAAGGGCGCCTGGGTGGCTCAGTCGGTTAAACATCTGATTATTGATCTCAGCTCAAGTCTTGATCTCAGAGTCTGTGAGTTCAAGCCCTGCCTTGGGCTTGATGCTGGGCGTGGAGCCTACTTAAAAAAAATAATAATAAAATAAAAATAAAATGAGTCTTATAGGCAAGGTAAGATTTCCACAGCTGGACAGGAGGGTCAGGGAAGCTCTGGAAGGGAACAGCTGGAGCTAAGTTCTAATAACATGGGGTGTTATTAGAAAGTGGTGTGTGGACCAATGGCTTATGCGTCTTGGGAGAGAGGGGTAGTCACCAGGCGAAGTAGCTTAAGTGTTGCTCTTTAGGATCCAGATTTTATTGTGGGGCAGTAGGAGCCACTGAGGATGTTCGAGCAGGGCACAGAAGTGCCATGAAGAGAGCTAAGCTTTAGAGAGCTTAAGTTGTAGGAAGCAGATGGAGGATGAACTGCAGGGGAAATGAGAGGTAGGTGCTCAACTAACACTCAGACCTAGTGCTACAGCCACTTGCAGCCTGGTTGAGGAAACCAGCCCTTCCTTTAGGGACCAAGGGGTGACTCCTCCGGGGGGTAGGGGGTGAGAATCACAACCCTACAAGTGACTCAAAGTGAAATACCACAGGGGCTCAGTGGAAGACAGCACCTTGTGAGCCCAGGAGGGCTGTCCGGAGGCTGAGCTAAGGCTTGAGGAACAGGTGGGATTTGGAGAGACAGAGGAAACGGGTGGGCAGAGACAGTCGTCCAACAGTCTAACTGCAGGCCAACCTGCTCCCCTGCCCTCGTCCCTCTCCTTCCAGCTACAAACATTGTCCACCCTCATGCCTATGGGATCAGTGATGCTGGCAAGAACGTGGTAACGGACAGCAGAAGGCTGCGGAGCAGTGTGGGGAGCACTGGATGGAGGGCGGAGGTGGGATTCCCAGCCTCACCCGCTTCCATCTGTGAGGCCCAAGCAACTCTACCCCTCTGGGCCTCAGTCTGTGCCTTCAAAGGGGATCATTAATTGAGCCTCCAGAGGAATGCAGCTGTGGACACAAGAAGGGAATTCAACTGGAGAAGGGTGATGGGGCTGTGGAGGTGGGCAGTTCCCACCGAGATCTGGGAGCCCGGGGCCGTCAGAGCTGTGGCCTGGGAACTTCCAGGGGCGCAGCAGCTGTGGGTGGGGGTCTGAGGAGAACAGGTGGGAGGGCAGGTGCCAGGCTGTCCTGTGCCCACAGTGTGTGCTGGAGGGCACTTTGGGCAGGACTGTGCCCAGCTCTGCTCCTGTGCCAACAATGGGACCTGCAGCCCCATCGATGGCTCCTGCCAGTGCTTCCCTGGATGGATTGGCAAGGACTGCTCACAGGGTAAGCAACTGCCCAAGGAATGCCCCCCACCAGGAGCCAGGCCCCAAAACACACCCTCCTCCTTGCCCAGAACCTCTTTTTTTGCCCCTGGTGCCTCCACCTCCCAGGACTGAAATCTCCTTCCACAGACAAGACTGTCCACCTGAGTCCCAGTTAGAGTCCCATAGCTGACATGATGAGTTATTAGGGTTGATCACTGGCATTATTAACTGTTAGTATGAAAGGTACTGATATTGTTGGGAGTACCATTGTTACCCCACCGAGAATTAATACTCCATGAGCACCTGAGCAAGGAGTAGCCCCTAAGTTTGGTTGGGGAGGAAGGAGGGGCAGGGACTAGCATGCTGGGGTTTGGAAGTGGGGAAGTGAGGTGAGAGCAGAGCAGTCACCTCAGAGGGGTGAGGGCGTCCCCTGAGTGACCCATGTGAATGATGTCCTGGGCACATAAGCCTGGACAAGGCATTGTAGAGGCTGTTCTTGTAAGGTGTGCCCAGCCTTGTAAGGTGTACCCAGAGACCACATAATCTAAGGATGGAGGCTTAACCTCTGCCCCGTGGAGTGCCTTGTCTGATGGGTGAGACAGGGACAGTACCCCTAGGGAGGTCCCAGTTAGATGGCCTGGCCTGAGGGAATTTCCATTCTGGTGGAGGAGACACAAGTGTCATCCTCAGGGAGCTCAGCAGCCGAAAGAGGGGAGTCCCTATCCTGGGAAAGTCCCCATCGTCATGGGGAAGTTAACACACAGTGTTCACACTGTAAACTGCAATGTTTAGTTTACCACACCCACCCACACACTCCAAATCACAGCCAGTCCCCCAAGAAGGAAAGTTCAGGAGCCCTCAGAGCTGGGACAGTGGGCAGAGAATTTGGGCTTCATGGGAATCCTGGGTAAGTGGGCCAAGAGGTGAGTGGAGGAATTCTGGGAAGTGTGTCCGGAAAGCCAGAAAATACCAGCTGGGTGTATCATGGCATCTCGGCTGATGTGCCATCCCCCTTCCTCTCTCTCCCTTTCTGTCTGCTTCATTCTGCCTTGCCCTCACCCTGTGCATCCCACCCACCCCCAGCTTGCCCACCAGGGTTCTGGGGCCCCGCCTGCTTCCACACATGTAGCTGCCACAATGGGGGCAGCTGCAGCGCTGAGGATGGAGCCTGCCACTGCACCCCTGGCTGGACTGGACTCTTCTGCACGCAGCGTAAGTCCTGCCTCCCGGCCTACCGGTCATTCAGAATCTCATGCTGCGGCCTGCTGGCTGCCTTGGGCATCGTCCAGGCCGGTGGAGGGAGGGAGGAGGCGGGGCCCGAGGGTCCGGGGCTGCCCCCACCCCACCCAAGGAGTGGGAAACCTGGGTGGATTCAGGGGGTTGAAGAGCCCCGTGTCCTGGAAAGTCAGGGCTGTAAGGTGCTCCAGCAATCACCAAGACCTGAGCCCCTGGACAGTGGGGCCCAGAGAGGGAGGAACAGCCTATGGCTACACGGCAGGCAGACCCCAGCCTGGCCTCTCATGCTAAGAAGGATCCCTCACAGCCACCCCTACCCCGTCGGCCTGAGCGTCCAGAGTGCAGAGACAGCTGAGGTGAGGTCTCACTGCTCCTCACCGTGTGCTCAGGAGAGGCAGCAGATGACAGTTTGGTCCCTGCTGTACCGCTGCAGTTGTCCCCACCCTGTTTCTCCAGGCTGCCCTGCAGCGTTTTACGGGAAGGACTGTGGGCGCGTGTGCCAGTGTCAGAACGGCGCCAGCTGTGACCACATCAGCGGCAAGTGCACCTGCCGCACGGGCTTCACCGGGCGACACTGTGAGCAGAGTAAGCTGTCCCAACCCCTGACCCTGGGTGTTAGTGCCGGGCATCAGCCTCCGGCCGGGGACACCTCCGCCTTCACAGTCCACTCATTCAGGGCTCTGCACCTCCTGTTCCCTGGATTTTTGGAGCGGCTTCCAAGAAAAAAGGCTCAAGAGGGTCATGCCTACATCGATATCTGCTTCTTCCTCCAGTTGGGGGTTGGGGGAGGAATGGGGGGCTGCTGAGAGCAGAACAGACGCCTGAGGGCGTACTGAGGGAGTAAAGGCAGTCAGATCTTCTCTAATGCTTCTTTGAAGCCTCAGTGGCATCCAGCTCAGGGCCTGGCCCGTGGAAGATGCTGCATACATGTGTCAAGTGAGGAGGAAGTGGAAGGGCTGAGGTGCTCTGTCCATCCCCAAGCATCAAACCAAACCACAGTGGGAGCCACAGGGAAATAGGTTTTACTCTGGGAGTCAGAACTGGCTAATCATAGCTGGCCACGGGTGTGTCTCACGGTCTATTGCGGGTCTTCTTCATGCTACACAGGATGTGCCCCAGGAACCTTTGGCTATGGGTGTCAGCAGCTGTGCGAATGCATGAACAATGCCACCTGTGACCACGTCACTGGCACCTGTTATTGCAGCTCTGGATTCAAAGGAATCCGGTGTGACCAAGGTAATACACAGGTGGAGTCCCTAGGCAGCGGACTCTGGAAAGGGCCTAGGGAGATTCCAATGGGAACTGGATTTTATAAGGACACTTTGTGACTTCCCTTTTATTCACTTCTGGAAGGAGAGCAAAGGGGTGTGTTGCAGAGGGGCAGGCAGAGGCTCCAGGTACTGTGTACTAGAGGCAGTCGGAGCAGGAGCCTCTCAGTCATGGCTTCCCCATGCTCATCCTTGGCAGGTTTCCTGTGCGCCAAACAAGGGTAACCACAAGCTAGTCCATGTGAGAAGGCCAATGGACAGTCGAAGATAGGCCCAGTTCTGGTTCTGCTAGATGTCCTGGGCAGGTCATTTCATTGTACTGAGCTTATTATTCCACATGCAAAGTGGGAAGAGATTAATCCTGGTCTTCCAGCACAAGACAAGGTTCTTTTGAGGGCCGAGGAGCCCAAAGGGGCTCAACCCTGGCTCCAGCTCTACAGAGGACACCCCATAGTACAGTTTTGAGGACCAAGTTGAGACAATACGAGTAGAGGACTTGGCACAGTCCTGGCGCATAAGCAAGCACTCAAAAATGATTTTGTATACATAAAAACCCTTTGTGAAGTGCTGCAAACAAGTAAGGGATTGATTATTATTGTTTGGTCTAGAAGATGGGGAATGAGAATGGGCTTTCAATTTACCCATGTAACAGAAAGGGGGCCAAAAGACATTTCCATTGCATTCTGATGATATAGCATGAAGAAGGAAAATGCAGCACATTATTTCCCCCGAAGATGTTGGCTAGCTCCATTTGGCCAGTTGCTGATGATAGCCAAGGAGAAGTCTAGATGGTACCAGGCAGCAGGATGACCTCCACGATGGGCTTAGCGTCAGCATGGAGTTAGCCCACACACATATCATCAAGAGGGGTTTTGTGGACAGTATTCCTGGGCACAAAGGCACACTTTCATTGCCAGTCTGTCATATGATGCTCACAGTTCCCTGCGGAGGGTGGAATTATTGTCCCCATGTTACAAACGAACAAACTGAGAACTTGGGGAGTCACACAGCTGGTAAGCAAGGAGATGGGCTGAGTCCAATTTTTTCCAACTCCCGAGGAACCTGACTTTACCAGTTACCTGTTATATGATCTTGGGTTAAGTTATCTAGCCTTGTGATGACCTTCTTCATCTGTGAAAGGGAAATAATTACATAGTCCCTATATTAAATGGCTGCTGGGAAGATCAAATGAGTGAATATCTGGAACTCACTTTTTAGAACAAAGTACTCAGTAAACATTCGTTGTTATTTTATTTGCCATCCACGATCGCATTTGTTCTTTGTCATAACCTTGGAGCTCCATCCCCTGCAGGCAGTCGAAGAAACAGGCACAGTGAGGGATAGGATCACACACGGATTGAAGAATAGGGCCAAAGACCAGAACCAGGTCTCCTAAAGTGAGGGGAGTCTAGGCCCTGGGCCAGGATCTGAAGAGCAAGCAGGCCTGCCCCAGACTCAGGTCCTCCCTCCATCCACAGCTGCCCTCATGATGGAGGAGCTGAATCCCTACACCAAGATCAGCCCAGCGCTGGGTGCAGAGCGGCACTCTGTGGGTGCTGTCACAGGCATCGTCCTCCTGTTGTTCCTCATTGTGGTGCTGCTGGGCCTGTTTGCTTGGCGCCGGCGGCGACAGAAAGAGAAAGGCCGTGACCTGGCTCCCCGTGTCTCCTATACACCTGCCATGAGGATAACCAGCACAGACTACTCGCTCTCAGGTAAGGGCTATGCCCCCAGCATCCCCTCTCCTACCCCTCCACACACACACACACACACAACCCAGGAAGAGCCACATGATATCCCTGGGGACACCTGGGTTTACTGCTGAATGTGGGTGGTCAGGCTTGCAGGATTGCCTGCTGGGGCTGGATGCTCACTCTCTCCTGGAGAGACAATGGGGGTGGGGAGCAGAAGCCTACTTGGGAAAGGTAGAGGGGGTTTTATGAGTATGTCATTTCCCAGATGCCTAGTTCTGAGCAGCTATGATTAGGAGTCTCCTTCCATTTCCCCAGAGCTTCCTTCCCATCCTTCTCACCAGGTTTTGGCCACAGGAACACCCACACTAAACAGTAACTTTCCTAGAAACTCTCCAGGGGAACCTCTTCCCAGCCCAATGCCTGAGCCACCCCAAGAAACTGGCCCTGGGGCTGTTTCCAAGCCCTGTTCCATCTTTGCTTCCTTGGGGAAAGGCCTCAGAGCAATCCTTCCTCCTAGTTTCCAGAGTTAGGAGGGCCCTATTAATACAGTGGAAGGGGATGGTGCCCGACTTGGGGTGGGGGTGGGGAGAGTTGAAAGTTTGGGCAATGACCCAGTATATCCACAAATGTGGTAATTATCTCCAGTGGGCATTCTATCTAGAGTCTGAATGGGGTGGAGGGGGGCTGTTAGGCCAGATCCTTCCTCTCTACTGAACCCTGGACTGCTGCCTTAGAAATGAAGCTTTGGGCTTCATATTTAGTTAAACAGAAGAGGTCAAAATGCTCTGAAATTGCCCATAGTCCTAGGCCACAGGACGCTGGGCCTGTCTGGGTAGGCACAAGGATGACCACTTTCTCCAGCTGGCTCCATGCAGCCTCCAGCATCTTGGACTCAGAAAACCAAGATCACATCAGCCCATTCTTGTTAAGTACTGCCCACCATGTGCCCACTCCATGCTAGGTGATACAGGGTAGACAGGGGTGGTCCAGGTGCAGACCTTGCCCTCAGAGAGCTCCTGGCCTGCTTGCCTCCCTGGGTTTCAGCCAAAGCAAATATCCCCTGATGAAATCCCAAGCCCACAGAGTCGATTTGGGGATTTTCTTCTATGACTATAATAAGTCTGGCTGGTTTTCCCATACTACTCCACTGGAATTCCCCTACACTGTGGAGGGGTCCTAGAATCCACAAGAGGGCAAGACTGGGGCTGAGAGGAGAGGGATTCTCTTTATGGCCTCACTCCTGGGATAGATCTCTGGAGGGAGGCAAGGGAGGGCAGCACAGCCCTACGGAGCAGCTCAGGGACATAGGAGGCTGTCAAAGCCAACACTCCTCATCCATGCTCTAGCTGCTGGGTGCCACCGTCTACACTGGCAAGCCTAACTTGTATCCTGCAGGGGGGAGGGGGGCGGACAGCATGAAGGAAGAGGCAAATTAGGCTCTACAGATTTCTGTGGGGGTAGTGGATACCAGAAAGCTTGGGGGATGGGGGACTTAAGTGTCTCTCTTTGCAGAGCACTCGCAAGGCTGCCCAGCCCGAGTGTTAATATTGGGGTGTCTCATGCCAGGGACAGGGGTATGATGGTATGGCACCTTGTTCTCTTCCCAGATTTGTCTCAAAGTAGCAGCCATGCACAGTGCTTTTCCAATTCCAGCTACCACGCACTGGCGTGCGGGGGGCCTGCCACCAGCCAGGCCAGCACTCTGGACAGGAACAGCCCCACCAAGGTACCGGGCCCCTGACTCCCCAGCCCCTACCCACCGTCCTCCCAGTGAGCCCTCACCTCTGCCCAGGAAGGAACCACATCCCACATTGAGGGTCCATGTAGATCCAACTGCCAGTACATTAAACACAACCCCGTGACCCATGGGACATCTAAACACTCTGAAGCATTTAACAGGAAGCCAGCAGGTTACATGGAACCAACAAGTACCACGTAAGCAGCAGACATCACATGTAACCAACCTACAGCATCATTCAATAGGATATATACCCCCACACCTGTGTGTAAGGAATTGGTACCAAATCATGTGATCATCTCATGGAGCCTTCTTATCACATATAACCAGGTAGCCACTTTTGTCATATAACGTATGTCATCAAAACACTACACCATCTATGACCGACCAATCACTACAGTGCATTTCAACACCATGCATGCAACCAGCACCTTAGAGAATAACCACTGGTACTCAGGTACCACCAGATGCCCTTATATCTGGCATACACATTATCGCTACATACCCGCAACCATATTTTGCAATCAGAACCACCACAAGGGACAGGAAACCCAAACATCAGCTATAGGCAATGTTCTCATTGACAACGTACGCTTCAGGCCTTCAAGGACAGGTGTGCACCACCCTGGACAGGGTTCTCCCTTCACAGCTCCCAGCATAACCCTGGCTGATGGCAAGGCCTCCTCTTACAATCACAGGCCCTTGGGCAAGGATGTTTCAGCACACGGTATAGGGAGCCCACCCCATGGTGTGCCAGGACCCATACTGGGGACAACAGGAGGTTCAGAAATGTAAACAGCCTCAAGGACCAAGAGGTCTGACAGGGCTGCACACCTCCTGACACCTAGGCATGTACACGTGCACATGCACAGCAGGACCATGAGGCGGGCAATCCTAGGGCTCCTGGCCTCCTATAACATCCTTCCTGTGTCAGGAACACGGACAGAAGCAGTTTTCATATTCCAAGCCTCTGCCCTAGAGCTCTGGGAATCCTTTCTCCCTGTCTGGCCCACAGAAATGTCCACTAGTCCACAGGCCTGGTGGCAATGCAGCTTGAACCCCCTAACAATAACACGGGCAACCACTCTCAAGCCAGAACCCCAAGGCTACTTTCTTCCACTTGTTCTCAGCCTCAGCTTTCGAAATGGGAGTGCTGTATGCAGCGTGCCTTGAGGCCCCTATGCAGTCTGTGGCCCTAAGCCCTATAGCTTTGGCCCCTCTTCCTGTGTATCTCCTCAGCTTGGACTCTCATTCCCACATAAGCTGTAGGCTTATCTGAGGAGCTGAAAGCTGAGGGAAGGGAATCTGGATTTTCCTAATATGAGGCTCTTGATTAACTAGAGCCACATTATAGAGGCTGCAACAGGTTAGAAGCAAACAATGCCAAGGACAAGGCTTTCCCTTGCTCACAAAAGGGAGACTCACACACAGGCCAGGTCAGGTAGCAGAGGTGACAATGATGTGGCAGACCACCCTAACACCTCCCTTTGTGCTGGAGATGGCCTCATGTTGCATCTGAGACAGGGCGAGAGCCTGTTCCCCTACAGCTCAGTGCCACCTAGCTGACCTACTTCCCATCAGAGCCAGCCAGCTAGGCTCAGGCCACTTCTTGGCTCTTGGGCAGCCCTGCCCTACTTGGTCCCAAGGGCTGGGAACCCTTCAACTTCAGCCAGACAGCTAAGAATGGGGTAGATTCCGCTCCCACTGATCTCGAGTCATGCTGCAGTACACCTAGCTCTTCCTTTCCCTCAACTATCTAAGATGTAGGTGGGTCAGGATCATCATAGGGGTTGGTGCACAAGGCTGGGCAGGGGCACCTCGGAAGCAGAGGGATTAACTTACTCTCCTACTCTCCAAACAGCTCAGTAACAAGTCCCTTGACAGAGACACAACAGGCTGGACCCCCTACAGCTTTGTGAACGTGTTAGGTCAGTAGTGGTTTGAGTCTGGTCCCCTGTCATCGTGTCCCACCTGTTCTCCTTTTTCCACATTGAAAGGGTCCCTGTCCTAGCTCCAAGGGAGAAGATTAGTAGATGAATCCTGAGCATGGGTTCCCCCAGGAAGAAGGGGTTTTGGGAAACCCAAGCCCATGTTTCAGTTCTCATAAGCAAATGAAGCCCAGGACACCCTTCAGTTCTATTAGGGGAGAGGGTGGCTATGACCCAGGGACCACAAAGGAGACAGCTAGGACCTGGATGGGGGGTTCCTGATGCGGGCAAAAGATTTATTCACCATCTGGGAAAGGGACCCTTGCCTGAGCCAGGCCCTGCCAAGGTACTCCTTTCCAAGGGCTTCTTTCTTCTGTCCCACTGCCCTAGTGGGCACCAGTTCCTATTGGGGGAGGGGGCGGGGGTGGGGGTGGGAGGAGGTGAGGGAGAAAGGTAGATGGCTTCAACTCTAACAGATCCTCCTAGCCCTTGCCCCTTTGGATACTACACATCGGGGCCCTGATTCCTTCCAGCCTGCCCTACCCTGATCCCCTCCATACTCCCCACCCTGCCATACCAGGGCCCTGGGAATAATGGCTCCTGTCATTCCTCTCACTAGACTCCCATTTCCAGATCAGTGCCCTGGAGGCCAGGTACCCGCCCGAGGACTTCTACATTGAACTTAGACACCTCAGCCGCCCCGCTGAGCCACACTCACCAGGTTAGACCCCCAGCCCTACCCTCTACCTGCTAGGCTCCCAAGGCTCTCATACCAGACCAGACCTACCCCTTCCTGCTCTTTGACTCACCCCCATGGTTCCAGAACGCTCCCTGAAAGGGCCCTCCTCTGTCCCAACATGGTTAGTCCACAAGCCCAATCCCCTATCTAAAGGAAGCTTGCCTGGATTCATCCCCCATCACCCTTTCTGCTCCCATCGTGGTCAGTGGATGTGGACAAACTGTGACTGGTATTAGGTGAAGAAGACACAGCATAATTGTACTCCCTATAGGCCACAGAATACAACCTTAAACCACTGAGAAATGACTTAAGGATGGGGACACCTTTGGGGTTCTCTGGGCCCTGTGGGTGTGGATGACAAGCCCAGTGTCTCCCAGAGAGAGACTCCAGACCCACCAGTGGCTCAGATCAAGCTCTCCCAGATCATAGGGTAAGGTTGTCAAGCAGGGATCCGGAGAGGTTGGGGTAGGATGTGTCAATCGACATCCACTCTGCTCTGTATTAGGCTCAAGCTAGTGGCTTGGGAAAGAAGAAAAAAGGAGACTTGCAAAGTCAATCCTGCTGTGGGAGGATCTGGAGTTACAGAAATAGGTGCCATAGGAGTAAGGATAATGAATCAACAGAGATGTAGCCTCCCTAACAAGTGGCCTCTCTAAGGCAGGGCCTGAGTATACTGGATAACCCTTGGGCTCTAGCTAGTTTCTAGAGCTCAAGGAATGCAGCTCTGCCAACCCCTGCAGGTCCCTGCGTGCAGTAGCACTAAGAAGCATGAAGGTTCTGAATGTATCTGCCCACTGAGCAGCTGTGGGCTGCAAAGACCCTGAGTCTGTACCTAGGAGGCTGCGCTTGTGGCTGCGGGCTCCCTGGGCCATGTCTAGGTCTTTCAATAACCCCACCAAATACAACCCTCAACCTTCCCAACCCCCCTGCCCCCCCCCCCCCACACACACACAACCACCATGGTGTATCTCTTTCCCCAAGGGAGCATGCTCTGGGCTCAGCCCAGATTTCTCCCTGCTTTCTAGATGTACACTCTACAGTATAGCCAGAGCCACCACATGCTATCATCCTGTGGCTTACACTAAGGCAGGCTGGTGGCCAATGGAAGAGAATACTTGGGGAGATCTAGCTTCTAGTTCATGTGGTGTCGGACAAGTCACTGCCCCTCTTTGGGTCTCGGTTTCCTGTTTTTGTTTTTTTGGGTTTTTTTTAAAGATTTTATTTATTTGAGAGAGAGAATGAGATAGAGAGAGCATGAGAAGGGGGAGGGTCAGAGGGAGAAGCAGACTCCCTGCTGAGCAGGGAGCCCGATGCGGGACTCGATCCCGGGACTCCAGGATCATGACCTGAGCCGAAGGCAGTCACTTAACCAACTGAGCCACCCAGGCGCCCTCGGTTTCCTGTTCTAAAAAAAGGAAAAGTTAACAGCCTAGCCTCCCTCCCTCAGGGAGGGTGAAGGAAGCCCTGGTCTAGTGTAAAGGGCTGAACTGATGCCAGGAATACAAATTGTTAATCATTTTTCTGAAGGGCACAGGTTACCTATAGGCCTTTTAGAAGAATAGCAAGCTAGAGGAAAACTTGGACTGGTTCTGCCGTATCACTCAGTAATGTGGGGAAGGCAGGCCGGTAAGAATAGATTCCTACAGATTCAACTTAGGAACTCTGTGGAGGAGGTATGGTATGGGGATGTATCTAAACAGCAGTGGGGGGCGCCTGGGTGGCTCAGTTGGTTAAGCGACTGCCTTCGGCTCAGGTCATGATCCTGGAGTCCCGGGATCGAGTCCCGCATCGGGCTCCCTGCTCAGCAGGGAGTCTGCTTCTCCCTCTGACCCTCCTGCCTCTCATGCTCTGTCTCTCATTCGCTCTCTCTCAAATAAATAAATAAGTACATACATACATCTTTAAACAGCAGTGGGTTGGCCTTCAGTGTCTCAAACAGGGGAGAGTCAAGTGGAGTCACATTGTATTTTAGTAATTACTTGCTGCATGCCTTGCCTGGTAGTGTGTCCTCAGTTAAAAGCTGGAAAAAAAAAAAAAAAAAAAGGACTCTGAGCCAGAGTCATTACAGTCTCAACCTAAAAATGCCAGACAGCTTCTTTTCTGATATCACCAGCAGCAAAGAGCCTGAGCTTGGTCCCTGAAGTTTTATGTCCTGCCTCTGGCTATGGCTAAGGACCATGCATTTTGGGAGCCGGATAAACTGTGACAGCCAAAACGGAGAAGAATCCTTCAGATTAAAAACACTGGTAATACTTTTCAAAGACAAGTCTCAATTATGTACAAATGGTCCACTCCCCAAAATGGGTAACTAAGACAGCAGACTATGGATGGGAGTGACTACATCCTGGAAAGATCACTAATCAAGAATCTCAGCCACCGGTCCACCTCCCTCCCTGGCTCCCCTCAGTCGAGCTTCAGATCCAGGAGAGGAGGTAGGACCAGAGCTGAGAGGTAAGAAACGGTCTTCAACCCTATTCCAAGATCCAACAGAACTGGGATTTGGAATGTCATACACCCCCCTTCCCCAAGCTAAGAACTGGCCTTGATTCGTTCCTTATCCTGTACTTCTGGAGCTTGGGACTTCACCTATAGTTGACTGCAGGTGGCATCAGAACTGCCTGTGATCACCTCATGAAGACATACCCCTCAGAGTTAAACAAGGTTAAAGAGGAGGAGTGCTCCATATGCCAGGGGGCGCTGTAGCTCACCACTAATGCTTCTGAGCCCTGTAAGAATTCCTGCATCATCAAAATGATTTAGAGTAGATTAAACCCAGAATAATCCTCGAGCACTAAAGAACTAATTTTATGGGTAAGGAAGGGAAAAAAAGGCAAGAAAAAATAAAGCAAAAACACATGCAGTCTAAGTAAACGTCACTCACCCCATTTTTCTCTTTATTCTATTTTAATGCAGGTGCTTGTGGAATGGATAGACGTCAGAACACATACATTATGGACAAAGGCTTCAAAGGTAGAGTATCCAATCCTGACGTCCCATTAGAAAGGGCTTAGCAAGATAAAGAGTACAAATGTGAAATGACCAGGAATTCTACCAGAGAGACACTGCGCACATCTCTTCCCTCATTCCCCTCAAAAGTAAAAAGACCACAGGACCTGGGGCTGCTGGGTAGCTCTGCTCAGGAGGAGCAATCATCATAATAATGAATTTATATTTCGATTTAAGTTGCACCTGCTTAGCAAGCGCTTGTGGGGTTTTTTATAGATGCCAACTAAATGTCTTCAGAAATGGGAGAATGTCATTATCTAACCAATTAGTATGAGTTAAATTGATTATAAATTCTGAAATAAAGTCAATCTACCTGCCCCAGAGGCCTCCTGTCATCATGCTGGCGAGGATTGCCACCCTGCACCTGCTGGCTTTCTGGGGCACAAGGAATGAAAATTAATACCTAGTGTTAATACTGTATGGCACTCCACCCTCGAGATCTCTGCCCCTGAGAGTGGGGAGGTCAGGACTAATCCCAAGCACATCCCAAAACAGCAAGTTGGATCATCTTTCTAAGAAGTCTGAGTGTGAAACCAAAGATGAAGGTCAGGCCCTGCCCTGGGCTTAGGCCTTACGTTTAAATAAGAGAATGTGTGAAATAGGTGGCTTTGGGACTATGTCACTTATTACTCTGTCAAGTATTAACCGTGCCCTTAGACTGGGAGCTCTCTAAGGCCTAGTTTCCTCATCTGCAAGGTTGGGAATAATTATGCCTATCCTATGGTCTAATGCCTATCCTAGTGTCTAATAAGGTTATCCTGAGTATTCAATAAAAATCAGAGATGGGAAGTGTTTTTGCATATTATAAAAGATTGTACTAATGTAACAGGGCTGTCCTTTTGTCTCTGAGGTCTATTTAGGAGTCTCAGCCACACTGAAAGAGACGACAGACAGCAAAGATCCCAATGGCTATCATAGATCTAGCTGTGCACCAGAATCACCTGGAAAGCCTGTTAAACATACAGAGGTCCACACCCCATCTTCCCAAGACTCTGAAGCAGTGTATCTAGAGTGGGGTCCTGGAATCTGCATTTGTAATAACTACTTCAGGGCATTCTTAGGTCTCAGGTCTAGACTGACCCAGATTTCCTGGATTACTGTTCTGTCTTTCAGACTTAGCCTTAGTTATACCTGTGACACAACCATTTCCTAACCAAGGAGAGCTAGTCATCTATAGCCCTTGATGGAGTGGTTATTAAAAGTGGGGTGAGCTAGGGGTGGGTTGTTCTGAGCAAGAGAGCAGGAAGGGCAAGTCTCCATGAACACATTAGGATGTATAGAGCCCAAGAGAACAATGTGAAAACAGGAGGTCACCCCTCGGCTTCTGGTCAGCCGAAGTTCACTACTCCCTTGGGAGCATCAATTCTGGCCATTTTCTGCGTATTGACTCAAACCATCCACATGGAGGCAAGCACCATTACAGTAGTGAAGCTAAAAGCTTTACTGTTTTATCACTGTGACCTGAGACCTCAGTTTCTTTCTCAAAGAGGTGTGGGGACTGGGCAGAAAGATCTCTTAAGAGACTTTCTAGCTCCGAAAATATGCATGACTCAACAATGAATAAGCTCAGACAGGCCCAAACAGCTCAATTAATGAGCACACAACTTTCCTATGCATTTTGTTGTCCTGTGCATTGTGATTAGGGTAACTGCTTTCAGATTCGAAACCATAAATGTATATATAACAAAGCTAAGAAGGGCAGTGTCTCTGCCTCAGTGTCATTCATTCCTGTTTTGTGGGATCGTGTATCTGAGCCTGAGTGCAGGGAAGGCCAGATTTTGCAGCCAGATTTTGTTTCACCACTCTGGCTATAATCATTCTTTAGAGAAAAGGCGGCTGCCCAGGTAAATATGCCAACAGGTGCTGGGAACCAACACATCAGAACAAGAGAATTCAAGAACAGGAAAATGAAATGTCACGGTTTGGAACTTTACAGAAATATTTATCAAAGACATGGAATAAACCCCACTAACTGAACTCCCTAATAAACATTTAATAAACTAGTCTGTACCAGGAATGAAATTATTTCCTAAAACTACTGGGCCAAACCAAATAAGAACTATTAAGAGTGAAGAGTCTGAGTGTTCTCTGAACTCAGTGGTCTCAAGACCCTGGCCTGGAAGTTTTGGATTCTAGTCCTAGTTCTTACTGTGTGGCACTGACTAGGACTAGGTCACACTGTTATTTTCTGCGTTTGGTTCTTCTGCCTCCGTTAGAACGATGAGGTTGTACTAGCACCATCTCTAAGGCCTCTCTAATTCAGCCAGTGTTCCTTCTTGCCCTTCTTACTTTAGACCTCCGCTCACTGTCATCCTGAAGTTACATGACACACCACACACTGCTTGCTATGCTAACCCCATTTTACCTCTAAACACCTATCCATCTCCCCCTCAACACAATGATACTGTAACAAACTGCCTATGTTTAATTCCTTGTCTGTCAGGCATTTCAAAGTGCTACAGAAGAAATCCTCCCTAGCACGCTCCATCACCTTTATGATCCTGAAATCCTGAATCCCACTGTTGCTGCCACAGGGAAGCTACCTGTATGCTCCTTGCTAATCCAGCCTCCACGTGTCTCCTTGCAGTAACTTTGGATTCCAAGGTAGTGAGGAGTCCAGTGACATCCTGAAAACTTTTTTTAGCCAGTGTGGTTCTCCTTCTGACCGTGAAATCTCCCTTTTCTTCTCCCCATATCCTTGTCTCTCAAGGAAGAGTGCTAACTTAGCGCCCAGGAAGAGAAAAGGCAGTGTGGCTTTCTAATAATAGTAGTAGGCTGAGAAGAAACAGATGTTCAGTGCCTGGGTTTTCCCCAAGAGTTAAATACTGACTTTACCTAGATGCTCGTGTGAACCTAAAAGCCTAGATAAGTTCCAATCCCACTCACAGAGCGGCCTTGGATAGTCATTTCCCCTCTCTGGTTTGCTGCTGCTTTTCTAAAATGAAGGTGTTGAGGCTCATTTCCAAGGCCCCTTCTGCATTTGAGGGTATAGGACTCCGTGTGATCTGGAAGAGGTAGGAACTACGTGAGAACAAACACCAAGGCATTATAAAGCTAAGCCTTCAGTCCTGATGCTAATTACAGGCCTTGGAGGAGTAACTCTCCAAAGCTTAGGTAGCCTTCGTTGACGCTTCCCCTTTCTTTGCAAAATGCCCTGAAGTGCAGGGACTGGCTGGGTAGGGTGGGGCTGTAAAAGGATGAGGAAATGTTTTAGAGAGACTGGTTGCTCTTCCCCTTACCCCACCCTCCCTGAGGGCAGGCAGGTAGATGACTCAGCAGGAGAGAAGAATATATCTGAAGTGTAAATTTTCCAGTAAGCCTTGCCCTTTCCTCCCTTCAGTTCCCAGAAATAGAATCCAGATTATCTATAATCCAACACCCCTTTCCGACCACCTCAACCCACACATACACTTGTCCATCCTTTCTTTCCCTCTGGCCCCTTTATATAAGGAAGGTACAGCTTCCCCTTGAAATGAATCCCCTCCCCCAACCCCAACTTCTCTTTTATTCACTTAGGTGCATCCCCTGCTGCACAGCAAACTATTTGCAGTAGTCCTCTTATCTGCAGTTTCTTTCCTCAGTTTCAGTTACCCGCCCCCCACCCCCACATGATCAAGGTCAATAGTGGCCTGTCACAATGCCTACCTAGGTCATTCACCTCATTTCACCATCTCACATCACAAGAAGGGTGAGTCTAGTACAATAAAATATTTTGAGAGACCCCATTCATATAATATCTATTACATTATACTGTTATAATTATTCTATTAGTTACTGTGGTTCATCTCAGTGTGATTAACTTATAAACTTTAGCATAGGTTATGTACGCATATACGCATAAGAAAATATATATAGAGGGTTCAGTATTATCTGTGGTTTCAGGCATCCACTGGGGGTCTTGCAAAGTATCGCTGTGGATTGGTGGGGGTGGGGAGACTGCTGCATACCCCCGAACTTAAAGGCAGCCTTGACTTTTCTGGTGGAAATGAGAAGAGGGATACTACTGGCTGACTGAGGCTCTGTTAGGCTTTCCGCCACAGCTTCAAGACTGCCACTGCCGTGACTGAATCAATCACGGGATTAGCCACGAAAAGCTTAGAGCTTGGCCTTTCTCTGTCAGCAGGGCTTGGCCCCATTGATAGAAGGTATTCCTTGCTGAAGGTAAGGTGAAACTGTTGCAGCTGTAGTTTGCATTTAGAGATCTAGAACAGGAGGAGGGGTAGTAAAATGCAAGTGGAAAACATCATGACTGGATACCGGAGATTATGGGTTGAGCCCTAACTATTTACTAACAGTAGGCGAACTTTATGAGCTTCAGTATCCTCCTTTCTAAAGCAGTAATCATAGCCCTCTTCACAAATGAACAAGTTTCAAATGACCTAACCAGAGTGAAGATACTAGCATAAGGGCTACATTTTCTATCACTATTCCTCAAGTTTTAGAAAACATGCAACTAAGGTAGCCGCCAATCAAAGTAAAAGGATGTGCCTGGGTGAGGAGGAGAAGAGGGTGTTAGAGGACTTTTCACTCAGATGATAGCCCTTCTGTTAAGCCGTTCTAGTCCTCAGCTTCCAAACCAGCAGCTCCGAGTCATACTGCCTTACTCTTTGGCTGCTAAGTTCAGAGAACCCAAAGTGGGACCGATGGACCATGCTGGGGTTCCTGGACACACCCCCAGCCCCTTGTACTAAGAAACAAAGTACTCACTAGAAGCAACTTCATGTGGCTCTGGGCAGACTGTGGCCCAGGACCCACATCCCGCTTTCCTCATGAGAGCCTCACCAGCACCTGGGCCTGCTCACTGTCCAGCAAGAATGTTTTCTCCTACCCCTCTCTAGGGTTCTAGGCTAGAAAAGAGACCACAATCTCAGATGGGACCAAGGCCAACATCTCTCTCTACCTGTGGGCCAGGATGAGATGAAAAAGGCTCTGAGCCTGGTTGTGGATCGCACTCTGCTACGGACAGCAGTGTGACCTGGGGAGGTCACTTATGCCAAGCGACGGTTTCCTCATAAGCAGTAAAAGGGAAGGAGAGAATTAATTATTGCTCTAGCTACATCGCAGGTATTAGGAACACCTGAATGAACTAATGGGTAAATGTACTTTTGTACAAGATTGAAGAAATGTTACCTGCTGAAACAAACATCAGTAACCCTATACTCAGAATTCTAAGTAAATCCCCTCCCAACCAGTCACCTGTTATGGAAGAAAACATTGCTAGTGGTGACACACAACTCAACTTTCAGCCACATGGAGTGTTCTGCTCTCCCAGGACCTAGTCACCCCTTGAGTTACAATGATCCCTTTATTTTTTTTTTTTTTTTACATTTTCATTAATCTCACAAGCATGTGACACAAGGAGGCAGAGAGCATGTGATGGTTCTAGTGGAAGACTGTCCAAGAATTTCACCATCTGCCACCACTTAGAGAAATTTATAGCTGAGAAATATAGAAATTTCACCATCTGCTACCACTTAAGAGAAATTTAGACCTCTGAAGACCACTCATTACTGTCAAGCCCCTACAATTCCATGCTTATTTCTAGACCCCCTGGCTGGCAGATCGTCACAGAAGAATGAGGGCCAGAGTTGGCCAGATTACAGAGAATCTAGTGCTTTTTTCAGGCAAGTCTTGCCTCACTTGGAATGATCTATAAGAACCAGTGATCTTCCCAAAACGAAAAAATGGCACAGAGGCTGAAGGAGGGGCTCCTCTTCCCTTCTGTGACTCCCAGTTCCAAAGAAAACACTTTCTTCCTCCAGTGAGCTACAGTTACTTTTCCTCGTATTTGGAGACTAGTCTGCATTCTTTTGTACCCCAATATACCCTGAAGTCTTGGGGAAGATGCACCTGAGAGGCAGCAGGAAAAGAAGCATGAGTTCTCCTAGTATCAGAAAAAGATACTGCTAAAATTGGTTTCAGTTAGCATTCATAAGTACTGGGGTAAGTGACCCCAGAGGATACATTGGAAGGCTTACTAGAAAACAGGAACTTTTCAAAGGCCAGCCTGAGACCCAGGTGCTTTTTACACCTCAATTACACTTCAGTCTGCCCCACCTTTGATCACAAGCTTCTCAAGAGCAGGGATGCCGCCAAATTTGCTGCCTAAAGGTTGCCAAGTTGCTGACACCTGTGGCAAAACACACCTACTTCTTTTGAATCTCAATTTCTTACTCATCAAAAAGAATTCAGAGGAAGAATGATATCACAGAACAAACACAGGCCAAAGAGTCCCAAGGCATGCATTCAAGTGTGGGCACTGTCATTTATGAGCTTATAGGACATTAGCCAAGTCACTTCATCTCTCTGGGCCTTCATCCTATAAAATGCAAAGTATCAACTATCTTTGCAGGATTTTGAAAAATTAAGTAATAGGTGTGAAAGCACATTGTGAAAGCACATTATGAGTATCCTGAATTAATCCCCTTCTGGTTCTGAACCTGACTACTAAGAACAAGAATGTCCCTATCCCTCCAAAAACGTAAGTTACTTTATGAAAAGAACTCTGCCTACCTAGGAAAGCATGCTTCAACATATTTAAGAAGGGAATCTTGGATTATTTTAGGCTTTTACAGATCCAGGATCCTGACGGCACATAAACTGCAATCTGTTTCTGGTATTGAAATTAAGTCTGTGTCCTTGCATGTCCTAAGAAATCTCTCTTGCCTTACAGATTACATGAAAGAATCCGTGTGCAGTTCTAGCACTTGTTCCTTGAATAGCAGTGAAAACCCTTACGCCACAATTAAGGACCCACCCATTCTCACCTGCAAGCTTCCAGAAAGCAGCTATGTAGAAATGAAGTCGCCTATACACAGGGGGTCTCCGTACACAGATATGCCATCCTTGTCGACATCTAATAAAAATATATATGAAGTTGGTAGGTGTCTCAAATAAGTAACTTAGTGAAATCAGGGCAATAGTGCAGCATCTGAAATAAAAACAAGCCCTCTCCACTCACCCTGTCTTGAAAACACACCCTTCTTTTGTTGCTTTTTAAGGAATCCAAGGTGAATGGTCTTTCCCAGGATTACCCTCCTCTCTCATGCAGGAAATCAAATTCTCATGTCAACTCTGCTTTAAAAAAATACCAGGACTACTATGAAGCAGAAATGCTGGGGGTGGAAAATCAGTGGGTATACACACTTCAACTGATTTAATCAGAACAGACATTTGCAAGTTTCTAAATCACCGTCTTCAACCTTCTCCCAGTTTCACCTATGTCCCTGGGCTTACTGATAAGATCCCTACCTCTAGGATATTCCAAACCTCTTGGTTTTGACCAGAGCTTGGGATTCTAATAGTACACTCACTTAGGTTTTCCATTTCATGAGAAAGCCTCAATCCTAACCCTCATATATTTATCACAGATTTATAAATCCCTGGCTTCTCTCCCTAGCAAGTTAAATAGAACTCTATTCCTCTCAACAAGGCAACCAAAGCTAATCTGTTCTCTGAACTCATTTTTCACTATATTCCTTAGAGCCCACAATCAGTATGGTCCAAGAAGGCCTCGGTCATAACTCCAGCTATATTCAGAATCCATACGACCTACCTAGGAACAGCCATATTCCTGGTCATTATGACCTCCTCCCAGTAAGACAAAGCCCTGCCAATGGGCCCTCCCAGGACAAGCAGTCTTAAGAGAGAGAAGCCTCTCTCTTGCAATGTGCTCTGCTGAATATTCTGACTCTGAAAGAAGACAATCCCTTGACTTGAAATAATGATACAGACTGACTCCAGCTGCGTGTTAGTCATTACTTTCACCTGGAACTAAAGAAGAGCTTCCAAGTGGGACTGGGGTAATTGTTCAAACGGTCTGTTTACAAAGGCAAATCCTATCACTTACCTATACCCAACCCCAAATGCCCAGGATTACATGATCTTTTAAAACACTTAAGATCCTGCTACTCATCAACATCAGCTAAATATATGTATTGAGATACATAATTCTCTGAAACGTGATGCTTAGAAAGCATATAGCATAGGTTTCACAAACCTTCCTGGGGGAAAAGGGAACTGGGGAGGGGGGAAAGGATTCAAGATCCTGAAATGTATGTGCTTTTGATTGCTGTTACCCTCAACATCTGTTTTATTACCTAAGATAAATAGCACACAGACACAAACTGTGCTAATCTGTTATTAATCCTAAAGTACTTGTACATCTATGTCTGACCTGTCAAATCACAACAGCCAAGATTATAGTATACAGTCTAATACTGACAACTTCAATTTTTTAAAAATAAGACTTTTAATAAATACAAATTAACTTTCCCTCTTCTGCCCTTCGTGGTAGTAGGAGTTTTCAAAGCGCAGCAGCCTCTTTCAGTCTATAATGATTTCTAGGCCAGCTTTACCAAATCTTGCTGATTCAAAGTTTGAGAACATTGCCAAGTCATTCCTAGCCTGGTCATAGCTCCTCAATCCATCCAACACCTGAGTCATTCCATGTGAAACAGAACTCTGAGATGATGCCTTTAAGCAAGCAGTCACAGACTGGTAAGAACAAAGTATCCCTAAAGGCCTCCCGAATTTATTTGATTGGCATCCCTTGGCTCAGAAGAGTACTTGCTTTCATGCATTTCTTCATAAATCTTGAGCTTGATGTAGTATAGAACCTAAAAGTGTAGAAGAAATTAGATAAAAGTGGATATAGCAAGTTTAATAAGCTGCTTAAATTACATGATGCTTTTTGATGAAACTAAATGAAAAGAATGGACTGTAATCAGCTGCTGTAACATGATGTAAAACTTTACAGTAAACAGAAAGTAAGGATATGAAGTACTTCTACCTTAAAACCACCACCTACTGAAATGGTCAAAAACATATTACAATGAGCTAATGCTTCAGATCCCAGTATTTAGACATGTCTGTACCTTCCACTACTAACCAGGTAAACTGGGGCTCAGTTTGAGTCAAACTGGAGCCAACTCCCAAGCCCTAAAAAAGAGGACCTCCTCACAAGAATTAAAGACCAGAAGGGCAAACCGAGGAAACTAATGGCCACCCCTATACCACTCCATTCTCTGGTAACAGCCAGACAGTAAAAAATACTTCCAAAAAGGTAAACAGAAGAGGAACTAAATGACCGCAGAGATGGAATAGCAGCTACAGGAAGTGTGGGAGTCCTGAAGCCCTTGATACAACCTGGAAGTCTGCCATGGAACCCATTAGTTGGGGCAATGACCAGCAAAAGCAAGAAAATAAGTAAATCCCCCTCCCTCACTTCACTCACGGCTTAAGCAAATTTTATTGTTAGGGGAAAACATAGAATACTTACATGAATGCTGCATGTGTGCATGGGAGCAAGTGATCAGCAATAGCAAATTTCCTTTCCACAAAAGCCTTATGAAATATAAATAATAGAAAATTCCTTTGTAGACCAAGTAAATATTTCTCATACAGATGTAGAAAGAAATAGAGATAAGAGACTTACCTCAGTATTTCACGGCAGCAAGTGCTCAATTATCTTTGTAAAGCAAGGATCAAGAAGCATGGCGAAGTCACATCAGCCAGGAGAAACTTCATCTCCATCCCAGGCTTTATCTTCTTCCCCTACCCTGCATGTGCAGTAACTGCTGCCTGGCATACTGCAAACAAGCAGCATCATGCCAGTTTCAAGTGTCGCCTCTTGTTTGCCAACTATCTTATGGGCAAAATTCAGCAAGAGGGAGCATGGTGGAACTGCTAAAGCATGGGGTTAAGAGATTTGAGTGTTACTTGCCCTCTCTGGGCTCCTTTCTTCCTCACGTATTAAAAAGGGGAGAAGGAGAGAGAGGGAAGAAGCTCTAACAACCCTCTGGCTCTATCTAGCATTCTATGACTGTTAAAGAAATGTAATACAATTCAAATTAGGCAATACAGAGAAGGGAAAGGCAGAGGGTGTGATTCATCTCTGGTGACAACAGCTGCCTTCACAGATCTAAGAGTTACTGGTAAAAGACATTTCAATCTTACAGAGCAACTGTTGGGAACTTCTGTCTAGCACTGTCACACATAGGTTCACGGTCAACCTAAATATGTGCACTGTGCATTTTGTTGGCAACTTGGAAAGATCTGTTTATTTTACAGAAACCAGTTTTCACTCAAAGTAATTTGCATTCAATTCAAATGAATAAAGAAAACACTATTATTGTACAATAGCATAAGTGAGACTATGAAATGGCAATACTTTTTTAAATAACCCAGATTTGTAATATATTTGTTCACTGTGCAAAGGGACTGTACCTTGTACAAAATAAAAGGAATTTCTCAAACTAATTTAACAAGAATGCCTACTGTTGTGTTGCACATTGAAAATGTGTCTATAATCTACAACTTAGGTTTAAAAGGTAGACTAAACTACATTTTGTGTGGTCACTTTAGGCAGCCAGAAGTGAAAATTATCCCAATAGATACTTGAAAATAAAGTGAACAAGGTCTATCATATTTATAACAAGAGTCTCTTCCTTTAATGAATGGGATCTACATATTCATGTCTAAAAATTACTGAGAAATCTCATACACATCAAATGTTCAAATAGAGAATTTCTCTGCTTTCACAAAGATTTAAACTCAAAGGCAACTATTACAGCCTGTGCTCAGCTCCAGAGGCACAAAGGTACTTCTATGGAATGGAATAAAAGCAAGTGATGGGCCACCTAATTTGCATTAAGTGCAATGAATAGCTTTCCACTAGAAGTTATCACCCAGTACGTTACTGTGGGTGTATGTTTTAGGACCTTTTAAAACATAACCTTGTGACCTCACTGGTAAAGCAGCAGCAGGATTAATTTTATAGTAAAACATGGATGCTAAAAAAATAGTTTACTGGATGCTTTCAAAAGTGTTAAGTTTAAAATTTTTCCTTCATACTTTCTAAGTTTGTACATAATCCTATTTAAGTCAACCTAAGCCTTTCAACTTGTCAGTTCACAAAGCTTACATGACACTCAAGTTATTCCCAATGTTTAACCAAGAATAATACATTTTTGTTAGAGACTAAGACTCATTCTGAAATTATCTTACTAACAGAATTCTCAAGGGCTGGAGGGTGACATCTCAGTGAAAAACAAAACATGATCAGGAGTTGTAAGGCTAAAAAAGGTGTTTACTGAGAATAGTGCTATTAGATTATGACTCATGAGGCTCAGATTACTACCCAATACCATAAAGGATAACCAAAGGCTGCAGGTTATGCACTCGACACAGAAGATTCAAGAATGATACATTCTATGAGCCATTCATTTAACCAGAAGGCAGGCAGAAGAGGCCCATTTCATCAGTATGTGACAACAGGAGACAGACTCTTTCTCAGAAGGGATGGATGGATACATAGGGATTCATTACACTGTCATTTGTACTTCTGTATAATTATTATATAGCATTTATATAATCATTTTATATAACTTTTAATTGAAGTATTTTTTAGTCTGAATGGTAGTTCTCAGACTATAGCTCCCCAAGCTAAACTAGAATGAATCCTAGGATTAGCCCCCTCACTCTTTTAGATCCCTTCTTTATTGTTCTGACATGGAATAGCAGGGGGGATAGGTATTAGGAATGTAAATATGAACAATGAACATTCCCACGCTTATGGATCTTACAATTTAGCAATTACAAAAGGGCAGAGATAAATGCAGGTCCATAGTGATTAGTAGGGTACTGATTATACATTTTCTTCCCTGACTTGCAGAGCTAGAAAGACTCGGACTCCAATCTAAACCCACAGAAGGCGGAAGCCCTAGTTTGTAGCGATGGGTTGTCAGATTCCCTCCTCAATTCTAGCTTCTACCTCCCAAGCCATTGTCTAGCCCAGCAGATGGCCCTCCAGAGCCTTGGAGAGGAGAAAGCACAGGGACTGGAAATCTTAAAAATCCTGCTATTTAGGAATCCACTTAAATGTAAACCCAAACCAGTAACTGATGATCCTAACAGATCCTGCATTGTTGGTTTCATATCAAAGACCGTCTGCAGAAATAGTATTGCTTCCTGGGGCTTTCCAGACTGTCCCATTTCAGGCATGACCTTCTATAATATTCTTAGGGCCATATGATGAAATGTTTTGGCACAGAGACTAATACAATGGTCAGCAACTTCTTAAAGAAAAGGATCTGTCACTTCCCTAGAGAGATCTGAGAAAATGGTACCCTGAGACTGGAAGTTGTCAAGGGAAATGAATCTGAAAACAATACACTTACTCACTGGGATGGGAGTAACAGGCAAGTTAAGTTCCACGGACTCAAACAGAGAAAAGGAATCCTACTGGCTACTAATTTTCACTACCATCACTGGTACTGGTAACATATAGTAGTTAACAGCAAATATATAGGACATCTGTGCTGGGACCTACCGATAATGATGTTAAATAACTGATTTCAAATGATCAGACTAGTAAACTAACAGCCAAATAATGCCATTTATATCGTGTGTATTTTGCCACAAAAACCTATACACTTGGATTTAATCACTGATTCTCTCGGATAGCTAGCTCTATAGACTGCTCTACCTTCTTACAGATGCCTGTAAGAGATAATAGTAAAAAAATTAAACACAAGATATTTTTAAAAGTTCTCTCACCCAGACATGAATATATTTTAAAAGTATATATTAAAAGCCAGCAGAATTTTAACAATAAAAGCCAAAACAAGCAGTTCTCAATTTACAGTTGACACAGCAGCCCAAGTGCTCCTCCCCTCCGAAGCACATGATACTTCGATGCATATTGTTGAAAATGACAGTCATTTTGCAAATGTTCTAAAATCTTTCATCTTATGGAATGAGGTTAACATGGAAATAGTAACATTTTAATCAAGTTGTAAGACCAAAAACATTTTGCAAAGTGATTTTTACTTATCTATTAAACTTGAGTTCAAATGTGTAATAATTTGGCTCTAGTCCCTGAAGAGTTCATTCACAGAATTGCCAAATTGGAGCTGGAATGAACCCCAGAAATAATCTAACCCATTCCCCTAACTGGAAGAAGGTGAGGCGCAGAGAAAATGACTAAAAGATCTGTGACTAGAATCCAAGTCTTTGTACCCAATCCACTCTTCTATTATACCTGCCACTTTCAATCTAACTCAAATAGTTCAGCATACTTTCTAATATATGCCTAGTTATCAATGTCCTTTCAGATATTCTTTCTCTATCCTCCAATTCAATTTTCAATGAAATGGATGCTTCAATTAAAATGATCTCAGCCTATGATCTCCTTTACAGAAGCTGTAATGACATTTTATATAACTTTATTGTTACCCTTGGCCTCCTATAGTTTGGGGAAATACAACCATTCTTTAAAACATTCCAATGACAACTTCAGTTTATTTAGCATATCCTTTAGGTGAGTGGAAAAAGTGACCTGTCAAATCCCAGCAAGCGTGTGGTACCAGCACCAACCCAACCAAGGTAACAAAAATCAGCCCTCCTCTTTTTAACACTAGCCTATTATGCTATCCCATTAGAGCATGTGATAGAAGAGGATCCTTTCATGGTCTTTGTTTTTTTTCCCCCCACACAGGGAATACATGCCATGCACAATCCTTATACAAAATTCATAATTTGTTTCGAATTTTCTTCAGGCTTAAAATGTTTGTGAGACATCAAATAACCAATCTCTATTTTCTTCCTGTGTTTAAAAAACAAAAACAAACAAAACTCCGTAAATTGAAACCTAACAGGCTGGAATAAATTCTTAATATCAACCCAGGCTTTGAATTATTCTGCTTCTGGTACTGGCCAAAACGGCCTAAACTGTTTTTTTCTCTTTAAGGTAGATGGAAGAAATTATGACAACATTCAAACCATTGAGAGCATTTGTATTTTGTAAATACAAGTCACTGAAGACAAAATTAAAATACTCATTTTCCCACTGATACAATAAATAGGACAAGCTCTGATGGACAATCTAAACTCAGACGTCTAACTTTTCTGCAGAACCCTTCAAAACTTAAAAGACCGCTGGCCTAAGTCACCAGCTAGCACCCCTTCTTAGAATTAAAATTTAGCATACACAATGCAATGGCTAATGATAACTTACCCCTACTGAGTTGTAACTACTATTATTAAAGAAAAATCATAGATAGCACTTGAGACCAATGACATGTTTAAATCAAGTCAAGATGGCTAACTGGCTTTTCAGAATAGGTTAAAAAAAAATTCAAAGTTAAAATGACTGAAAAGCAGGGTCAAGCAGCAAAACACTTCTAAACTACCTTGAACCCTACATTGTCATATTTTAAAACTTAATGTTTCTTACTTGAGACAGTTTGTCTCCTGAGATACTATTCAGAATGAAGACACTGTTAAGATGCAATCAAAGACATTTTCTACTACTACTTAAAGGGTTCTTGGAATTCTCCCAAGATCCAACCATGCCACAGCAACATTAAGTCTATACTTGATAAAAATTCAAAGTTACTCATTTTCAATTCACCACCTAGAGTTTCCTTCTTTTAAATAATTTTGTGAAAGATTTACTACCAATTTCGAGTAAATGCCCCTTCCCGGGTCTGGTGACACTGTTATATATGAAAGTACAAAGATTACTTCCTTTAATGTTTTTGGTGATACTTTTTCCAAGAAAAGCATAACTGAAACGTATGTCTAAAATCAAAGCTGAATTCACACAATGATGCCTCCAATTTAGTGTTTACTCTGTAATGCAAGGACCTATGCTCTTACTCATCAGAATCAAATATTCCATGGCTGCATCCAAAGCACTCAAAGGAAAAATGTAATCTGACAACATAAAGAATAGTCCCCCTATAACTGTTTATTAGAATGTGAATATATTCCAAATCAATAACTAAAAAATAAAATAAAGATAAAAATAAATCAAGTTACAGAGCATGCATAAAATACAAAGTAGCGATTTACAAATAGATAATAGTATCTTCATAACCAACCAATACTCTAAAATAATAAATGGCTACAGAAGAAAACCAAAAGACTGACCACAGCAATGCCTTCCGTGTGCCCCACACGTCATGTGCCCCACACGTCATGAGCACCGCAAAAGACAGATTAACTATGAAACATAGTAATCTATGCAAGCCCAAACACATGTATTTTTGTACTTGGGGGATATTCCACCATCCTGAATAGTATCAATTCAGTTGACACAACTTTCAGAACACTGCAGAGTAAGTGCTTAATATTATCCACAACAAAGTAAAACTCAGTATTAGTGTGCACATTTCTAAATGGGAAACGAGTTGCTCCACTGATTTCAATAATGTAGTGGGGAAAAAGTAGTTCAGGTTTGTATAATGCCTAAATGCATTCTATTTAAACTCAAGGTACTACGTACTAGAATACATGCCTTTAAGTGGTACCACTTGAGCAGAAATTAACCTCTCACTATATTCCTTAGACATACTGAAACCAGATATTTAACTGGACTGTATTCCATAATATACTGCAAAACTCAAAAATCAGCATAGTTAAAATAATTATCCATGCCTGCTGATAGATACGGTGATAAAACTAGGTTGCATTTCATTTACTGGAAGGTTTTAAGACAAAATTAACACTTCACAATTTGATACTAACAGCATTAAACCAGTTATTGCCTG